CTTAATTCCAATGTCTTCCAGCTCTTTTCTTCTCCCCCAAACCTCCTCAATGGGTACTTCCTGTCTCCACATCACCTCTCCTCAGTCACTCCCAGCCCACTATACCCTAACCCTGCCTTCCACCCTCTGGGAGCTTCCCTGAAACTGCTGCCTCTAGACCATAAATGACAACTTGATTGGAAAATGCAAAGGGCAATTTTTGCTCCTTCCAGATCATTCCGCTGCATGTGATGCTGTAAACCACACCTTTCTGTTTTGAAACTCTCAATTTAATCACTCTCCTGATTCTCCACCAACTTATCCAATCACTTGTTCTCAGTCTCCTTCACGAGTTCTTCTTCCTCTCCCTACCACTGAACAGTCTCCAGCTTATGTTCTTATTCCACCTCCCCTTCCTGGGCCACCTCATCTATACCCATATTTATCATTAATATCTATATGGAAGTGACTCCCAAGTCTACTCTCTCTAGCCTCCACCTCTCCCCTAAGGTGTACTTCAACTGCTCCCTAAATATGAGCCCATGTGTGTCCCAAAGCCCCTCAACTCTGTTGTCTATTCTGACTTCCCTTCCCTTCACCACTTAACCTGTTTATTCCCTGGAGCTGCACGTGGCAGCTGGTCCACCTTCTGCCCAGCTGTCCAGTCAAGGCTCCTCTATTGGTTTTACTCTTTTATCTGCTTTGTCATCCAAGTTGAGGCAATTTTAATACTTTTTATCAACTGAAGATTTATTGAAAATCCTCCTTTCTCCCTGCCTGAGAATAAGACCTTTGTTTGCTCCCCTTGACTTCTTCTCAGTCCAAGGGATAACAGCCAAACACTTGAGCTTGATTTTCCATGCATTAGGTTGTCCCTATAAAAGGGACTTAGAGGCCAGTGCTTTTATTAAAGGCACTGACTCTTCACAGGCTTGCAGATGTCCAGGGTGTAAACTATAAGCAAAATTAAAAGGTTGGCATCTCTTCTTTCATTTTGTACCTCTCTCTTTCATTATCTTAAACTTTGGTTCAGATTGCTGCTCAGCTCTGTGTGTAGGCATGCTAATCATTTAAGTAGTGTTCATCTAAAGCTGGTAATTTACCCCTTTAAAGCTGAAGACACCAACTAAGGGCAGGGCACAGTGGTACAAGCTCATAATCCTAGAGACTCGGGGTGAGGCAGGAGAATCACAAATCTGAGGCCTCGGAAACTCAGCAAGACCCAGGCTCAAAATCAAAATAAAAAGGGATAGGGATGTGACTCAGTGGTAGGGTTCCCCTGGGGTTAGTACACACACACACACACACACACACACACACACACACACACACACACATACACACACACACACACAGAGTGTTATGGGCTGATTTGAAAGTTAATTCAGGCTTACTCCATTCTGCTCAGACATCTCACCCTGCGCAGAATTGCCCGACCCTTTCCTCACGAGTCCACTTGCATAGAAGCTGACCCCCACTTGCACCCTGACCACAAAAATTTTGGAGCTGTTTTGAGTAGATACGAGAAATATGAATTCTAAGAATGTTCTGTTAGTTGGTACTTTCCACTTCTATGACTTATGTACGTGCTTCAACTTCCCGCTCCTTTGTGGTTTTTGGTTCTTAAAGCTTGATTCTCCACCTGCACCCTTTGTCCTGGACTGCAGAACTGTCTACTTTCTGCTTCCTTGGCCCTGACCAGAATAAATCCTCTGTCTTTTCTTCAAAAAGACCCAGAGTTTTATTTGAAATTTTAGAATCAAGCCTTAACAAGAGTAACTAAGGTATTTTCCAAATTTGCTTCTTTTTTAAATATTTCTAGTCATAGATGGACATAAYACTTTTACTTATTTATTTATTTCTATGTGGTGCTGAGGATCGAACCCATACCCTYGCACGTGCTAGGCAAGCGCTCTACCACTGAGTGAGTAACAACCCCAGCCTTATTTTCCAGATTTGAAGGGACATCATAATCAACACAGCCAAATGCCAACTTTWACAACATCCTGTCTCCAAACCTGAAGGAACTAATGTCATCTTGATTTCCTGACCTGTCCTTTTCTCTGAGTCATTCTCTCCTTCAGTCCCCTTGGAGGCCAGCAACAGTAGGTTCTAATCAGTGAACATCCTGCGATGAGTGGAAACTACCCCAGACAACAGCAAACTCCAATCCTGAGATAATGATCAACCAGTCCACAGTTTGACCAAGACTGCTTGACTATGCACATTTCTGGTTCTGCTTCTCTATATAATGGGGGAACTCATACCAGTACCCCTGAGGAAAGGGCTGAGCATGCTTGATTCCCCTTGTCTTCCTGGTAAAACCCTACTGAATAAATTCCTTTCCTTCCTTTCTCCAATCCTTTTTCCATTTGGTTTCAGGTAGGTGGCCAGATTTGATTTGCAAGGACTTCCTGAAGAAAGACTCCCCTCTAGCCCAGGACTCCAGGAACATCCCAGACTTACTTCTCCTGAATCATCTTTTTCTGCCGCCATCTTATAATTCACAAGGAAGCTCAACAAACATCTGAAGCTCCCTCAACCTGCCACATTTCCACATGGCCCTGCCTCCTTAGCATACACGGCCTCACATGCCTAGACCACATTTCTCCTTTTATTCCCTCTYCCTCCTATTCTCCAACACTTCCCCTTCCTGACCATCACTTGTCCTCCAAGATGTGGCTCAAACATCACCTTTTCCAAGATGCCTTTTGACATTTCTCCARCCCAAGAAGCTGCCTCTCCTTGATGTGACCATTAACTGCTAGGCACGAACTTTCAGGGACACACACAGGTATTTGCAGTAAAAGGAGCTGCTGCCCTTTCAAATGACTGCTAACATCTTTTCAAGTTGTTTATTTTTGTTGTTGTTGTTGTTTGTTTCAGATAAGGTCCTTCAAAGAAAACCACAAGGAATGGTTTGAACCAGGCAAAATTGCTAAGTCACTCTTTTAAGTGACCTACAATGAACTTTGCTCATTATAATCTTTTTATCATGTTAAAATGTCCACCCCAGAGGCATTCCCATCCACCATTTTTGAATGTGCAATGTAGGAAGAAGTGTGATCTTGAACTGAGCATGCTCAGGAATATGCCCACCTCTATTTGGGATAAGTCGTTCCTATACAAATATGCAGGAGTCTTCCCATGTTCAGAGACATGCTGCTTTGGGAGTCATCTCCAACATGCTCCTTACTTGCTGTGAGTAAAAAGACTTTCTTCACTCTTCTATCTCCTGATTATGCTAGTTGGCTTTGCACTCACCAAAGAGGGGAACCCTTTGTGTAAAGTTATACTATCATAACATTCCATGTTAACCTCCAGCAAGACACATTTCACACTCTTCTAAAAGAATATTCATCTGCTGGGTATGGTGGCACACTCCTGTAATCCCAGCAGCTTGGGAGGTTGAGGCAGGAGGATTGCAATTTCAAAGCCAGCCTCAGCAAAACCAAGGTTCTAAGCAACTCAGTGATACCCTGTCTCTAAATAAAATAAGATAGAGCTGRGAATGTGACTAAGTAGTCTAGTGCCCCTGAGTTCAATCCCCGGTACAAAAAAAAAAAAAATTAAATTAAAAAAATTAAAAAATATTCATCTATAAAACTTCYCCCACTCCAAATTCCTCAATGCAAGTACTATTAATAATAGATATTCAATGTAATTCTTTTTTATTTTAAATATTAGTGATAAATAATTTCTGGTATGTTCCCAGGATGCTTAAGACACTGTACATCCCGTATGACCCTTTCTCAGTCATCCACTATTTGTTTATGAGGCTCTGCTGTGGTCATAATACTTTAACATTCAAAATACAGCAGTGGTGGTTGCTGTCATCATGCTAATTCTAGAATGATGGTGTGCACTGCAGTAAGCATTAAAAGAATAGAGGACCCAAACAAACTAAAATTAGCCATATCTTGCTACTCAACATAGTCTGATTTGGCAAGACAAATCTCTTCAGCAGTCACAGTGCTGATACAGCGTGGTGAAATGGAACTCAACCAAAGAAGAAAACCTGCAATATCTCTAACACAGGAAATTCTAAGTTCTGCTGATTCATTCTTCAAGCTGCAATAATGCTTGAGTAAGGAGCACCCAAGCTGACTCTGCATTTTTTTTTCTGCAGAGCTCACAGAATTTGGCACACAAGAAATTTAATAGTTGTTCTTTATAGTCCTTTGTAATTCCTCAGATATTGGCTACAGTCACCTACATTATAGTGTCCAATAACATTAAGTGATCTTTTTTCCTACAAAAATGCACTCCCGGTCAAAATACTGATGAGAACTGAAAATACTGATTAAAGTTTCTGTAAATGAAGAAAATTACACAGAAAATCCCTTTCACAAAGAAAGACTCAGCACTAGCTCTATTGGAGCTCTTCAGCCTGGTTAAGATGACATCTCTTATTTACTTTTGTACAAAAACATCTGTACAACTGGTTCCAGATTAGGAAACTGCATTTAAATATCAATATAAACACATGCATGGAGACAATTGGGTAAATTTTCAACAGCACCAAATTTCTAAGAATTTATTTTAGAGCAAATTATGAAGCAGAGAGCCTTCTCAAAATAGGGACTTGCAAGTCATTACTTACTTTGTTCTTCCTACAGAGTCATGTGCATTGAATTATAAAAGGTAAAATGAAAGAAATCTCTAGACTGAAGTCTAATTATACTTCAATCAGTAATTTATCATACTTCTTATATATAGTGATGATTCAAGTTAACATTTAATTAAATAGCGTTACTTCAAATATTTATTCTCTTCAAAATCATAATATGTAAGTGCTGTATTTGAGATATTTAATACGTTAAATGTCTTTTCTTTTAGGAAAAGGATATAAAGACAATTCACTGTTCAGACTTTTGTATTTTTCTTTAAGTGCTCTATGACATATAATCTGGTAGAAAACACAGTGCTTCAATGGTAACAGACATTATTTTTACTAAACCAGTGTCTTAGAGATGGAGTTTTATGGTACCTGCTTTAGAGGATTATGACTGTATACTTACTTGTTCAGTGTGAGGTCAAGAATGAATTTGGAGCCAAAGGCTTCAATCTGGAAGCTTGCCTGGGCCAGATGGACGGCCTRTAGAAGCAAAAAGACACAAGAACCTTAACTTACTTTCCTGTCTCTAAGATTGATTATTTTCATACCAAGAATGTTATTAAACAGGACCAACTTTTTTTTATATATCAATTCATTTCTTTAAAAGACTAGGTGTGTTGTCATGGCTTTGCTGGAAAGATATAGATATCTGAGCAGCAAAGAASTAATAAAAGATAACCAGTCCTTTAAAATGAACCCTTTGAGATAAAAATCAAGAACATATTCTGCAAGACTTCCAAAGTGACTATGATGAAATATGCAAAAGTCTAACTAATTTAAAGCTTGATTTCAGCCTGTTTTGCGCACAAAGCTAACTACACCTTTCTGCAAACCTAAGTGAAAAATCCTATCATCACTCTGATCTTCAGTGGGAATTGGAATTTTCTCTGGAACTTTCTCTAAATGATGTATTGGCAGAATATGACAGTAAAATGGGACTGCACAGTCTTCTAACTTCAGAGAGCACTTACAGCTTGCCCCTCTGGGAATACTCAGAGTCCATGTCCCCCTTTAAAAGTCACACATTTACAAATACTGTCATTATGATGCCTTAATTCAAAAATACAAAGATAATTTCACTTCAAATCATATTTATGAGGTGTTAAAGATTAGTGTAGCTCAAAGAAACATCGTGAATAATATACATTAAAAAATCAATTAAGTGTTATCAAGGATTTCAAGATGAAACTTACCTTCACCGTCCTATCAGAAAGAGAAAAAAAAAAGGACAAGGATAAATGCAACATTTATACCCCCTCCCTTGACTCACAAATGTCCTTCCTCTCTACATTCCAGACGCATCTGTGAAGCGCTCAGTACATGGAAACGGGATACCAGTGTGAACACACTAGGCACACTCCTTCTGGTACTTTATATGCCCACCTTTTCCCATTACCTCTCCGCTCCTCTTTGCCCTTGACTCCGTTTTTATTATTAAAACTCCCCCCATCCTCCAGAGAAGTCCAGTTGGATTATTCCCCGTGAGACCTCCTTCATACACTAGGAATAAACTCTTGGTCCTCAGAGCCTYGGGATCACTTAATTTGTTCTTCCCTCTGTCTGGTGGGATGAGTACTACCCTTCATCCTTCCCTGGACAGTGAGCTCCACACACGTATCACAGGAGTCTTGCAAACAGATATAGATCAATGACCCTCCTCCAGAATATCCAAGCTTCCAATAATTCCCCAATTATTTATTGTCAAGACTGCTTTACCATGCCAAACCCATAAAACACCATGAATAAACCATGACTTCTACTTCCAGTCAAGCACAATTGTCAATTAAATAGTCACTCAATAAGATCAATAAACAAAAGTTTCAAAGGAAATTAACAAATATTAAATTTTAAATACAAAAGAATAAGAGGTTCCTGAATGTTTAACACCATAGGATGTCAAGTCAAACTCCAAATCACCACATAAAACAAGGCCACAGACTTCTCTTGGGTTCCAGCATCCAAGCTACTGCATGAAAAAGAAACATCTCTCATATCAAAAGTGGGCTATGTCTTCTGCAAATAAACCTTTATTTGGCTAATACAAATATCTTTTCATGCATTTATTTTGCATCTTGAAGTAAATATTTTTGCATGAAAATATTTACCTGGATGAATACTTTGTAGGGAAGATTTTTCAGCTCTGGATTCCAAAAGTTTAAAAAAAAAAAAAAGTATGTAAAAGTTTCTGAGAATAAGATAGGTCCTTGAGCTGGGGTTGTGGCTTAGCAGTAGAGTGCTCACCTAGCATGTGAAAAGCCCTGGGTTCGGTCCTTAGCACCACATAAAAATAAATAAGTAAAATAAAGTATTGTGTTTAACTACAACTAAAAAAATAAATATTTTTTTTAAAAAGACAGGTCCTCAAGCATGTTTTCTTCTAAGAACACTACATAGCTGAGGAAAAGTTCATCAATGCAACCTTTCTTAAAGGAGMTGATAAATACACCTCCTGGAGCTTCTTTATAAACAGTAAGAACTGTCTGTGACCCAGTAAAAGCCTCCTTTTGTAGCAAGTAAGCAACAAGACAAGTACAAATACCAACATCACCCTAATGCAAAATAAGGTAGCCTGTGGTAACCACAGTACCCCCATTTTATACAATTGTTAGGACTTACAGTTGGATTAATTGCTAAAACACATTTATGCCAAATCAAGATGACACATTTCAGTTTGACAGAATTTCATGAAGGAGTTAGCAAATAATACTGAGCTTTCCTTTTGCTTCTTCATTCACTCATTCTACACTTTTTACACAAGTTTCATCTTATGTAAAAAGATGGCTGGAACACAGCCCTGGACCTCAAAAAAAAACAGCTGTTTTCCAGGGAAGAAGCCTCAGCATCTAATAGGCCACAGCAACCAAGACTGAGCACATCCAGGGGCAGAGGGGTACAGGACGGCTATTTGAACAAAATTGCAAAAGATGAGTAAGAATCCACATGTCAGGGGAAGAGAAGGCCTTCAGGGTATTCAGGGCGCGGCAGAAAATATTTACTAAACTCGAGTGAAAATGTGAGTGTGGGGAAAAAAWAAACTTTTTTGATTTAAAAAAAAAAAAAGAATGTGGCATGTAGGAAAATAGCCTTCAGAGAAAATGACAATGACTCTGAAAAGGTGGACTGCAGACTGGAGAGCTTTGTGTGACGTGCTCAATGACAGGAATGAGGTCAAATATGTACATGGAGCCAGAGAGTGAGCTATGTCCATTCCCCAGACTCACTCAGCATGTCTGGCACATTTTATCTTCATCATCACCACCATCAACAACATGATCAAACGTGAACAGAACTAAACAATTCACCACGTCAGCCACAACATACGGGTTTCTCCACAGAGGGGGTGGGGTGGAATCTCATGTTATGAACTTTCATCAGTAAAAGTGTTTGATCATTTTAATTTATTTTAATTCTATGAGGCTGAACGTTTTTCTTTAAGATAATTTCAGATTTCCCCATGCATGTATCTTTCCTATGTATCAGGTACAAACTGTATATACATTTAATAGAGTTACATTCTTYTTAAGTAATTTCAACACATTATTTATATGTTACTTTCCTTGCACTGCTTTTCCTTCCTCTGCTTTACATTGTGCAATTGTGTGCAGAGTACAGATTCTTCTCCACACCAAAACAAAAATCTGAAAAGTGCTATTTTTCCCTATCAATCTGTCATTTGTGCCCTGTCCTCGACACAAAATAGCTTTTAACTTCTGGACTCCATGTTATTCCATTGCAAGTTATCACGTTTTCTTTAACAAAATAATATACAGTTTTGATAAATATCCATTTTAAATATGTTCTAGAACCAGGTAAGTGAGCCCTCGTTATTATTTTTTTAGTAAATTAAAAAWWWTTTTTTTAATAATAAGATTTGCACACCCTTCCTAACAGTAGGAAATTGAAAGAATGGCTGAGATGAGGTTTTGACAGGACAGCCATATCACTTTGGGTTGATTTAATACAGTGTTATCACTGCCTAACTGACAAGCATCACTGAAAATACAAAGACTACCTACAGTCTTATTCTTCTTTTACAAAGATGGAACTATATGGTGAGGTTTAAAAATGTGCTCAGCAATACAAAATCAGATTACAGGAATACTTCAGAGAAGGGTTCATGAACCACACATGAGGTCATAGTTATTCTCTCCTTCAGAATATCTGTTAAACAGCCTTGTTTTTATAAGAACATCCACTATTGTAGCACTGGGGAAGAACACAAGGTTTTATAACCAAAAAGCATCATTTCACAAGAAGAATGAGCACATCACTGGGCTCAGAATTACCACCCTGAAGAACTGGGAACAGCTGTTGCCTCAGCACATTGATATTTTTCTTTTGACTCAGAATCTGGCCCAGGGAAATTACAGGAGTTCTATAAACAAAAACAACTAAACTCAATTATATACACAAACCTCCTTCACTGAAGAACAATTCACACATCTTCACAGTGTGCTTCTGTTTTTCTGTTTTTTTGTTCCTAGTAAATGGCACCTAATGGTATCATGTTAAATAACTGAGAAAACCGTTAGCTTCTTCAGCTAAGCCTTGTTTTGCACCTGATTATCAAGCACTGCTGGGACAGTAAGTAGCTGTATATGCTCAATTTTGTGTAAAGAACACTGGATAAGCTGAAGAAATGTGGCTGTTTTCTAGAACAGTTAATATGTACATTAAAACAAGAGAAAAATAACCATCTCGTTATAGAAGTAAAAAGCAGGCAGTTGAAAGTTTGCGAGTTTCATGTAACTATACTTCACAGGGGACTCTCTGCCACTTCGCAAGAATCTGTAAGTTCTCTAGCATGTATCTATAACTGGAATCGAAAATGGGAAATGGAGAGCCTCCACTTTCCCAAAATTCAGACAATATTTCCAGACTGAATTTCATAATTCGGGAGAAACTGAGCCACTTGACAAAGTGGGTGTCTATGCTGTCAATCACCACATGCCTACCTTTAGCATGTTCTATATCATACACAGTTTGGGAAGCAGAAGAGAATTTGGAAGTAGCTTTCCAGCTTGTCAATGGATAGATGTCTTCTAATTAGGGAGACATTCGTTCAAGTGATGAAGGAAATATGTCCAGAGTAGCAAATCAATAAGGTAGGAAAATGTTTTCCAAATGAAAGTAAGAGGCCCTGAAGGGCATCGAGCAGGTCCCAGCAAATGCCAGTGAAATGATTGAAGCTCTGCTCTTTAAACGGGACTGTGGATCTAAGCTTCCAAGAAGGAGGGCGCCAGAGAGAGCAAAATGTGGTCATTAGAGTGTTAAGCTTTCTTCTCGTTTGAAAGAATCATAGGAAAAGTAAAGCAGCTAAAAGCTGATTACTAATGGAACTGCATTAATCTTTTTCTTGTTTTTATTTTTTATGTCCCTCACCACTATGATAATTTTTCTCATTCTAAGCTTATTAAAATATTGAATATGTACGCCGTGYATGTATGCAGCAGGTTTGTACCTTTTCAGGAGGTGCTTTC